TACCACTTCCTGCCCCGTTTCTGCCTTTTTACTGAAAAATAGGCAGAATTCTACAGAGCGGCAAAGAGGCCAGTAGTTGTCTGGTGGGGGGGGGGGGCAAATAAACTTGAATTCCCATATGTTTGGATGTGAGGGGAATGAAGATCAGTTACATTTTCCTTTTAATTTCAGCCCTAGAGCTGCAGCACCGTCAGCCACAACACATCCTCTCCCTGAAGCAGAGTTGCGCAATGCGTTTGTTGGGACACCGGTCACAAAATTGTCACAAAAACGTTCCAGGTACGGTAGATCTACAGAATGAATATTTCAAAAAGGTCTTGCTTCTCTTATCTGTACCTCTGTGTGTGTGTGTGTCTACCATTTCTGTGTTTTCAAGGTGTTCTGTTTGCATTTAGTCTTATAGCTGTAAAAGAAATAGTCAACTTGGGGTCACAGCTAAGTGGAGAATTCCAAGTGGTCCCAGCATCGAAATGTAGATGGATTTTCTTCTGACAGGAAAATTAAGTCACTTAAAATTGGATGCCTCCTGCCTCTGGGGCAATGTTGTAGGACAGGAAGTCTGAAATGTAAAGGAATAATTCCAAATCAAGGAAAAGCTGTGACTTGTTCACGGGCCTGATACATCACCCACACAGGGAGGGTTCCCCCGTATTTCTCATCCCCTGAATGCTTTTGTTCTGCATCATCTCAAGTTTCCTGAATGCAGCAGGATTTTTTCACGGAATAACTTGTTTTCATGCCTTAAACTGTGCCCCTTCACAGGTCACTGGGGTTGGTGGTTCATCCTGTTCCTTCACATTCTGCATCGCAGGCTGGTGGCTGGCAGTCACCATGCAGAGCTTCTACCTCATTCATGGCATCCAGCCCTCTGAGATCAAATGCTCCTGGTTCCACCTCACACAAGGACTCTCCAGGAGCAGCAGCACTGAATTTACTAGAGACTCCTCTGGTGGTGAAGGTTTGTATTGTATATCCTTGTTTCTTCATGAAATTAATTTGAAAAATTACATTTTATGTTGGCATTAAGAAGAAATACACCAAAAAGCTGGTACAAACTCAGTTTATAATTTAAACAGATACTTCTGATAAGTGAAGTTTTGAAGATTGCACTGGTTTTAAATGAAATGTTTTCATTTCTTTTCACAGAGAGCTAAAGTTTTGGCCACATCTGCTCCTGGTTTTCCTGGTTTCACTCCTCAGTCGATTCTCAGATCCAGCCGTCGCACCACACCCCTAGCAACTCCCTCTGCATCTCCAGGTCGATCAGTGACTCCTCCTCTACGAGCAAAGGAACCTAGGATATCTTTCAGGGAGGAGAACTTGAATACACAATGGACTGTTGGGGTGAGCTGGCCTGTAGTTAGAGATTTTTACAGTTAGAGGCTTTACAGACGGTGGTTTGATTTAGATGGGTTTGAAGTTTGCCAAAACTCCTTGTACTGAGAACTGGAATTGCAAATTGGAACAGCAGACTTGAATTTGGTCAAAACAGGTTACGTTAGACCTTCTGTAACTTCACATGCCTGCGGGAACATATTCATAGTAAAAGCCAGGGAATTTGCTGTGTTTTTACTCGTGTTGTGTGGAGCTGTGATTGTTCCAATTCGCCAGTTCAGCTTCCCGCCATACCTTTTCAGTGGGTGCTGGGGCAGGAAGGTAAGGAATATTGATTGAGCCAGTTGTTTGGGTTTTTCAAGCTTTGTAGATGAAACATCTTTGAAAACACTAAGAGTCACGAGCTGCAGTTACCTTCAGTCTCTTTTCTCAAGGCTGGATTTACTGAAATTAAGGTAAAAATAGACTGCAGATAGAGAGAAGTACTGTTTCCTGTTCTGTAGCCCTGAAGTTCTTGGGTTTGTTTCTTGCCTTGCACCAGGGACAGCATTTGTCCAGCTGTCAGATGCAGCTGGTCCATGTGACAGTTGTCTCTTTCTGCTCCTCCTTTTGGTCCATCAGTTGGATTCCCTGATTCAGCTCACGCTGCAGTTGTTGAAGTAACGTGTGGCAATCAGAAGCAGAACAGGGACGTGTGCTAGTATCTACGTGTATGAGCTTTCTGTGCACGTACTAACATTGTCATAATCCTGCTGTATTCTACCTTTTATTGCCTGTTGTCAGCAGCTACTCAGTTGTAAGAAGAGGCTCTCTTCTGTGCAAAGTTCTCACAAATAATGCAGTGTGGGCAGATGAATTTGTTTCATGCTACAGGCACAGTGGATACTGAAATATTTTAGCAGTGCATACAAGTTGAAAAGGCAAGCATAAAAGCAGAGAAATCTTGAGTTATGACTTGCAGTGTGCAAAACTCCCTCTGCTTGCAAACACGTCAGTGAACCCAGTGAGCAGCTTTGGGGTGACAGTGTAAGCAAGCACTTACCAGATCCCCATCATCTTCATTCTCCGAGGTTATGGAAACTCAGGGTCAAAAGTGTGACTCAGCTTTACACTCCGCTTTAAAAGCAAGGTCGTGCTCAAATGAGAATTTAATTTTGTAGCGCCTTGCTTAGGGTGTAAGTTTGTAAAACTTAGACATACTGGGGTGTGTTTTTCTTACTTTTGCTTTGCTTTGACAAGAAGCACATGCATGTTGCTGATAATTTTTTTTTTTTTTAAAAGGTAACAGAAGAAGATAAAACACTGTCTGGAGCTTCATCTGAGCATTACCATGGAGTGGTGGAGGATGCTTGGTCTGAAAGCAGGGATAAACCAACTCTCTTTGCTCTGAGCAGTCCGGAGGATGAGTGTGCTGAAACGGAAGAGCCTTCAGAAAGCATACCTGGAGATGGTTGGGAGGAAATGGATGTCAGCAAAGAAAAGAGTAACTCCTCTGCCAGGTCAGACCAAACTACTCTGGAGTATCATGACGCAAAATCACCGGGCGATTTTGAAGATGATGTCATCTTTATAGCCGCTAAGCCAGCTACTTCTTCCCCTGAAGAAACTGCCAGTTTTCAAGACTCGGAGAAGAAAGAAGATTACAGTGAAATGCTTGAAGATAAACCTTTCCAGATGGAACAACCAGATTCATCAGAACCAAGCAAAGTAGCTGGTGTGTTTCATCCTGTGATAACCTAAATTTCTGAATTTTTCAAATATCTTCGAAAGGTTACGTTACTGATGAGTGCAGCAGTTAACGAGGCACATTCACAAGTGTCCTAAGCACTTGCTTATGCCAGGCTTTTAAAATTCTCACTGTTTGGAGTCCTTTTTTGGGTATCCTGGGAATTATGGAGGTATATTGCTTTTGGCTGGCATTGCTTATGTATAACTGCAGCCAAGAGGCAGCAGTGATTTTTGGGAGTTTTGAGAGGGATACGAGTTGAAAACTTAGTTTTCTGGTTATGTTTTAGGGTATTTCTGTAGGCTTTACGTTTTTTTACAGCAAGTGTAGTGTATGGTGTGCTTTGACTAGAGAGATTGGGTGTTTTTTTCCTTTTTTTTTTTTCCTATAACCACCTTATTAGTGCTCAGTTAAGTAGTCTCCTAGAAGTGTGTCTACCTGTGTATCTGCTTCTCATTACAGCCTTATGCAGCCTTTTCCAAACCTGTTTCAGTTGGTCTTTCGTAATTGAGCTCAAGCCGGCTGATGGAAGCTAATCCAGTTGCTGAGGATGTGTTCATAGGAGCAGGTGTGCTGGCAGGTTGGAAGAGATGTAGCTCACTAGCTGGTGAGCAGTGATGAGCTGGGAACAAATGTAGTGCAGGGACAGGGAGAAGATGTGCACACGCAGCTGCTGTCAGTATTTGAGAAACACAGCTCAGTCCAGCTCTTCCAGCTCTCCAGGCCATGGATGCAAGCATCAGAGTTCTGTGTCTGAGGTCTCAAAACAGTTCCTAGCAGTGAGTGTATACTCCCCTATCCGTGCATCCTGTGCAGCCTGATTCAGTCCTAAGTCTGAGATGATTCTGGAGACTGAGTGTTGCTCTTCAAGTTCCTCAGCTCTTTTTAAATAACAGGAGAGCCCAGATACAGACTCCGTGTACAGTGGTAAAAGGGGTTCTTCAGGATGCAGTGTTTCTACTAAGATAGGTCAAAACATTTGCCAGTCCTATTTTACCTGTCTTTTATTTGGACAAGAAATCAAAAGTGCTTTTCATTAAAAATACTTGTAAGGTACTAATCATTAAAGAATAACTTTATAAATAAACTGTCATTGCTGGGCCAGGGTACAAACAGTTCTGTAAAATTCCAGTACTCTGGAACTATTAGAGGGCAGTCAGTAGAGATCTTGTTTGGCCTGAGCTAGCAAAATTATACCAGCCCTGCACAGTGGCTGCAAAGGTTGCTAGGGCTGAAGGAAGCAGACAGTAGAAACGAAGTAAAGGAGGATGTTTCTAAAATTGAACCTGTGGATAGGAAACCAGATTAGCAGTTGGGTTTCCACACCACCAGCCAATCACTAGAGAAGGGAACGAGGAAAGACCTTAGACGCACTCTTGTAGAAGAGGGGTAAGGGAGTTGAGAAGGCAAAGAGGCATTGCTGGAATGAGATAAATGTCCAAGAGAAAGAAGAAAACTTGCCGCCCAGTTTTAAGACGGAGCAATGTTTTCCGGAGTTTTTATGTGGTAGGTCAGTCACGTATCGAGTTTAGTTTGTAAGGAGAATATCAATGGTCATTGTGTTTTCTTGCCGGAAATTACGCATCAGGCTTCTGTTTTCCTGGAAAGAAGAATTCAGACCATCTGTGCACTTGAAGTCTGGGCAGCCTTATTTTGTCAGATCACTCTCCTAGGTGAAATGCAGAAAGGCTGCCTTTAAAGTCATAGGAGCATTTTGAAAGAAAGGATGTGAAGTGCAACAGGGAAGTCATCCGCCTGTCTGCTTTTGTAGGATTTGTGGAAGAACCAAATGCTGACTGTCTTCCCCTTCCTGAGGATGGAAGATTGCTGTTTAAAGCTGCTGATGCTGCTACTTCTGGCACTGCAAGTGAAGAGTAAGTTTCTTTTCTGTTTTGAAACTTGAGGGTTGTAGGGTGAGAAAGTAATCTGTACAGCTTTATAATGAATTTCTCCTTCTGTTCATGAAGTGAAGCAAACCACCAGGAGTCTAAAATGTCCTCTTCCTCAGAAGAACAAGCCGTATCAGTTGCAGTGGATCCACAGCTTTCTGAATCCCTGGAGGCAGGCAGAGAGTGTACGTACAGTATGTTGGAGATGTGATGTGAGTTAGCTGAACTCCGGAGGTAAAATGTGTGGTTTGCCATACTGCTACAGGTGTCTCAGGCAGAAGTAGTAACAGCATGTTACGGCTAACTGTCACTAAGCTGCAGAGAGAATGCGCTCCGCAAGGGAAGTCTGTGTGGAAAATGCACAGTGAATGTTCTTGTTCTTGATAAAGATAATGAGAAAACTGGTAGAATTTAAAAGATTAGGAGGAGAAATGCGTGTTTATTTTAGTGTTGTACATCACTGCTGATTTGTGTGCCGTGGGATCTGTTGCTTGAGTTTCTTCTTGTTCTGCTGCTGCTGTTATTTTGTGGGGTTTTTTTTGTTAACTGTGGGGCTGCCTCCTTTACTGGATAGATACTTGTGGCTTCTAATTTTTGGAGAAAGCCCAATATATGTGGCAGGATGGAGCACTGAGTTGGCTTCTGCTCCCTCTGTTAGTCCCTGTTGCTTACACCGGTGTCGTTTATGTAGCAGTTAAGTAAAAATTCTGGAAATCTCTTCCAGTTGTGACAAGTGTCCTTGACAGCGAGGATGTGGCCAGTGCTCATTCAGAAAATGGCCTTGAGGAGGGGGAGTGTGTGGATTTTCCCAAAGAAGCTGCTTCCCAAGGAGCAGCTGAAGTTGAAGAAAATCTTCCTTTTCCGCAGGAAGAACTAATGCTTTCTGGCAATCGTCCTGAAGCTGAGGTTGTTGATGTAAGTAAACTACCTTTCCGTTTTATAGAAGACAGAGAACACTTGGCAAATGGAGGACAGCCCTGTCTTGCTGACAGTTAGAAGGCACGCAAAGACCTCCTGCTTTCTTTAGCTGGTAAACACAAGTGGAAACCTCGCTACATAAGAGCGGATAGGCTTGGGAATACATAAATCACAGGACTAAATGGAAAATTTGCAGTGGGAAGAAGGAGGCAGGCATGTGAGATGGTCACAAAGCTTGTGCGGTCGTTCACGCAGCAGCACAGGGAGGGCTTTTCTGCGTCCGTTGTAACTGGCTCTGGCTGAGGGATGTGAAATGTGCCAATTCTCAACAGAAAAGCTTGAGTAGCTCCTGTGGATCTAGAAGGAAAGCTGAATTGCTCAGTACAGGCAGCTACAAAACAGGAGGTACATAGGGGATAAGAAGAAAGTCAGGGAGAATGTGGGCCCTCTGCGGAAGGAAACGGGAGAGCTGGCTTTCCAGGACATGGAGAAGGCCAAGGTACTCAATGCTTTTTTTGCCTCTGTCTTCACTGGCAAGGGCACGAGCCGTACCCCCAAAGTCACAGAACACAAGGGCAGGGATTGGGAGAATGGAGGTCGGCGAGGATCAGGTTCGACCAGTACCTGAAGGGGCTACAAGGAAGCTGGGGGGGACTTTTTACAAGGGCCTGTAGTGACAGGACAAGGGGTAACGGGTACAAATTGAAAATGGGGAGGTTTAGATTAGGTATCAGGAAGAAGTTCTTCGCAGAGAGGGTGGTGAGGCACTGGCACAGGTTGCCCAGGGAAGCTGTGGATGCCCCATCCCTGGAAGTGTTCAAGGCCAGGCTGGATGAGGCTTTGAGCAACCTGGTCTAGTGGAAGGTGTCCCTGCCCTTGGCAGGGGGGTTGGAACTAGAAGGTCTTTAAGGTCCCTTCCAACCCAAACCACTCTGTGATTCTATGAGGTGGAGATATCGAGAATATGTGTGTTGTCTCATGCGAGCCAAGGGATTCCTTCCAGGGCAGCGTTGGGTTATGGGATGCGATACCTGGCCAGTTTTACCAAGTGCTGCGGTCGCAACCGTCACGACACAGACTTGAACCTTTGGGGACATAACAGCAAGTCACTCTGTGAGATGCAGAGTCAGTCACTCTGTGTGGACTTGCAGTTAGTGCCGAAAGTGCTGCGGTGTGATGGTTACCGCCAGTTGCGCAGATGGCTCGTCTTGTAATAGCAGTCGCTTGGGTGATGGCTGGTGGCAAATGGTTGTTCACGAACAGAACCGTCGGAAACGGAGCGCGTAGTTGGATCCGCCCCATACTCTGTTCTCTCTCCCTTAGAGGCAGAAACGTTTCTCTGCAGTGGAAAGTACATTGCATGTTTCTAACTTCACACTCGGGGGGATCTGAAAGGAAAAGCAGCATTTCACTGTCCTCAGTTTGAAGTTGGTCTGTTTGGTAATTAATAATGCACTAACAGATGTTTTTAAACTTCAGGTTATTGAAGATAATGCGGTTAAGGCACCAGCCCCGGAAGAAGCACCAGAAACATCACTGTACAGTGAACTAGCTCCGTCAGGCAATTTTCAATATGGCGATGATCCTGCAGATCAACAGTTGGCATGGGATTTGCCAGATCATAAAGACGGCGAATGTGATGCATCTGAGGGAGAGGGAGAGTTTTTTATATCTCAGAGTAATTTTTCTTTAGTCTGGGAAGGAGAAGAAGGTGAGGCAGAGATGGGAGACGCTACATCAGTAGATGCTTCTAAAGCGGCTGGCATGACAGGGGAAAAGCCTGTGCAGAATTTAGGGAATACTGAAAACCAAGAACATGTCACAAACTCTGTGTCCACTGTAACGAGCGATCAGGAATCTCAAAATACTGCAGAGTCGCTCCCGTATGTGCCTGAACCCATTAAGGTAGCTATTGCTGAGAACTTACTGGATGTAATCAAGGACACGAGAAGTAAAGAATTTACAGCGGAAGTTGTAGAACAATCTATTCATGAAACCATAGGGAAAAAGGTTACTAGATTCCGGAAGGCAAAAGCTCTCTTACCTGTGCCAGAAGGAGTGGAAGACGAAGCCAGCCAACATCATGCAGAGCATGTCCTCACTCCCAGAACACGCAGAAGGGGACAGCTGGGGAGACGGCTTACTCCATCAGCAGGCCGTCAGCAACTGCTGAGGGCAGACAAACCACTTTTGTCTGGACTGTCTCCTAGGAGAAGTACCAGGCGAACGAGAGAAGCGTCTGAGGCAGAAGAAAGTGTTCCAGATGAGCAAATGCCTGTGCTGCCTGTCACTCCTAGGAGAGGTGGGAAGCTTAAAGCGGCTAGTGCGGAAATAGTAGCAAGCAGCCATTCTGATGGACAAACGCTATCCATCAGCACTCAGTCTGTAGCAGTTACTCCGAGAAGAAGATTAAGGGGAGCAAAGGAAGCTGCATCTGAGCCTCTGGCAGGGGTTAGTGACGACACGTCTCTTGCTGCAGATAGCATTATTGCTTCTGCTACTTCCAAAAGGACTAGAGGAAGAAAAAGTTCAACAGGAGAACAAGAAACTGGCCAGACTGACACTGATCCTAAGATGAAAACGGCAGTCAGTCCCAGCAGAAGTGCCAGAAAATTGACAAGCATTAATTTACAACCGACCGAAAATCGTGTCGGGGATCGAGGGGCGCAGCCCAGTGACCAACTCCTTTCACCTGCGCCAGCTAAAAGGGGCAGAAGAAAGAGGGGTTCATCAGACGTTTCTGAAAATTCTGACCTTGATCTGTCTAAATCATTGCTTCCTCAAACAGAATTTAAACTTCCTGTCACTCCTAGAAGAAGTGCTAGGAAGGGGACACAGAATTATTTGGCAGACACAGAATCTCTCTCGACTCAGGAAGACATGAATTCAGGTGGGAAAATTGAAATCCTTGATACTCCCAGGAGAAGAATAACAAGAGTTTCACATGCTAAACCAGATAAAACAGGTGCTCATGAGCAAACACCAAATGAGGTGCCAACCCCACCCAGGACTGTAGTAAGGACAGGGCGTCGAGGAAGAAAGAAACGATCAGTATTGGAGGAGAGCGCAGGGGAGGAGGCCTTCCCCCCAGGACCCGAGGGCGCTCCTCTGCTGCCCAAAGACGCAACCCCGTTAGGACGTGATGAAACACCAAGAACTTCAACAGATCGCGTTACAAGAACGAGTTCCCGCAAAACTGCTGTGCGGCAGAAACTGCCTGTTGAGGGAAATGAGTCCTTCCTTTTCTCTCCTCCTCTCACAAAGCTGACAGAGAAGTTCAAAGGTAGGTGTGATGTGTTTATACACAAAGCAGGGTGGATCTTTATGTTGTAAACCACGGAATATGGAGTACGAGGAAGATGGCGTTAAGTAAAGAATGTGGAATAAGGCAATTGATCTTTTTTCTGAACTCTACATGGCTGCTAGCTGGTTGTTGTGGAAACAGTTGAGGAGGCTGCTCTGAGTAGAGGGAAATGAAATTTAAGCTGAATTTTTTCATGAACTTGCCCTCCAGTTTTTAAACTCCTAGAAATGATCTGTTAATATGCCATCCTTTTCCCCCAGTGGAGAAATAAAGGGAGACATGCTTCCAAATTCCATTTGGATTTTAATGAAAAAGGAGCTGCATCCTGCAACAAACTGTGCAGCTGTTGAATTACATGATTGTTCTTCATGGGCATATGCTTTGTCAGTGAAGTTAATGCGCACAGGACTTTTTTTATTAGAGTACGTGGTAAAAAAAAAGGAGATGTGTAAGGACTGTTGATGCCTCTCGAACCTAATATCTTTGATTACGTAAGTGCGGGTAAAGTCACTACCTTGCCCTTTTTGTTTGTTTGTTTCACTCTTTGCTGTTAATGAATGGATCCCAAGAGGCAGTTACTAGGGGAAAAGTACCTCCACACTGAGTTTTCATAAACCTGACTGGACCTTTTATTTCAGGAATCTGTGTTCCTGATTTTCAGCTGTAATTTAATGTCGCTGTCCTTTATGTATAATGTACTTGCATGCTAACAGTACGTTGTCATTTTAGATGGAAAAGCAGATGATCCTGTGCAGCTTAAGGATTTAGACCCGGATTTGTCTTCTCAATTTGTCTTTTCACCCCCTCTTTTGAGGTCAAGGAGAAAAAATGTATCTAGTATTTCCCGAACTGTGAAAGAACCAGTAAGTAAAAACTGTAGTTGTCTTGTGTTCTTGACTTCTTTTTCTCTCTGTATCACTTTTCCAAACTATACTTCGCAATGCCTTGCCTTTTTCCTTGAAAGTATGTCTAAAGAGAGCTTTAAATGAATCAGCTAATTTTTTTTGTTTTCCCCTTTCATGAAAACTGGCTACAAAAATCAAGTTTTAATCTGTACAAGTCACAAATTAATAAGTATTGCTTTGCCTTTAACAAAAGGCACAGGGGCTTTCTTTAAACTTCCTTGGTGTTTTTTCTGTCAATTTCAGAATTTGAATTTTTAGGACGGTACAATAATTTGAGATGGAAGGTTTGGTTTTGAGGACAGAAACTGTAATGCCCTTGGAAATAACTTTGGCATGACTTCATGAAAGAAACATTAATCTGTATTCTGTAGAAGTGTAAGAACTTGTGCATGAGTAATCTTTTTGTTGCCTTAACACAGGAGCTTCCAGCTAAAGAGGAAGAGGATACCAAATCCATAGAGTCTGTGGGAAAGCAAAAATCGAAGAGAGGAAGAACTGCAAAATCAAAAACTAAGAAAGCAAGCAAGTATGAAATTGTCTTGAACACTTACTTGCGTTCCTTAATTGGGATAGTGATTTAGCTGTTAGCCACCTAACTTCATCACTTTTGCTGTGCGGTTCTGCTCTGACTTTCTGAGTCTGTCCAGCTTCCTGGTCTAATAGGCACCTTTTTTCCCCACTTAATGGTTCGGTTTTCTAATAGAAACAGGAGATGGAGGGAATAGAAAAGGGCAAGTGGATACTATTTGCAATGATGGTGTGCTGTTATATTGTCTTCTTCCACCTTATCAAATGGCACTCCTATGGTCTCTAGTTTCCCATACAAGGCAGGAGGGATCAGACAATGAGTAAAGAGAACTTTTTTTCTGAATGCGTTTTCTGTTTCCTTCTGGAAAAGTGTTTGAGGGTATTTGCCTCTTAAAATCTGGTGTGGGGGAGTTTAAAATCTCATACGAACAGTGACTGAGAATGCTTGGAACAGTCTAGTAAGGAATGGAAACAAAAGGAAACTTATGTACCCTTTCTGCCTTGATCCTATTTACAAAGAAGCCCATAAATAATTATTTGGTATTGATTTCTGTAATTTCATGGGGATTTTTTTTCCACTACTAAATACTGCCGGTACTAAAAAAATCATAGAATAATAGAATGGTT